GATGGAGAGTGCTGAAGTGATCAACAATAGCTTCAGCCTTGCAAAGTGTGATTTACCAACAGGATGATTAAAATTAAAGTAGTAGAAATAATGAAAGTTGAGGCAAAAGGCTATTTGGTTTGGGAATGTTCAGTTAGTACAGCCTGAATTTATCTCAGTTTATTTGCTTTGGCTAATAAGGAAGTTTTAAACTATTGAGTTAAAGTGGAGGACTGAAACATCCCTGGAGGACTAGAGATTAACAGTAAGCTCATTTATATAAAGCAGGATTTACAGGCTAGTTGATAGAGTTTATATTCCTGAAAACTACCGGGCCAACCTATTAAACATCTAATTCCTACAGATCTGCAATACTAGTAGGATGATTAATAAATTCATACGGACTCTTCATTAGAAAAAAATGGTTTAAATTAAACAAAAAAGCTTTGTTGGTTTTCTGGCCCAGAAAAAAGAAAGATTACAATCACTTGGCTTTAGTACTGTTATTGATATTGCAATGTTGTGTCCAAGATCCCGTGGAAAATGTTGCACAGCTTGAGGATGGGCTACAAGAGGAGACCATGTCTTTGTTCTAGTGATTTCTGAAAATCAGAACTGTTTTTAGAAATGCTGAGGGCCATTTTGTAAGGGACAGGCTCCTGCTCAGGGTGGGGCTTGCAAGCAACACACCTTCCATCTGGTCACTGCTTGCTGGGCAGTACTACCTGCGACCACATCACTGTCACGTAGGCGTGCCCTGTTAAGCAGGGACAGATCATGAGCCAAGGCTCTGGCATCCTTTACTTGCCCGGCTGCTGCACACTGAGCACACAGCACATGCACAGCCACAGAGGTGTAGGTGACTCCAACGGGCGGGGCCTGCTGCCCAAATGCACACACACGTGCTTCTGCTTATGCAGCACGGAGAAGGGGAACATTGTGGTAATTGCTTGCTTTCAGCAGCTGTGTGCTGCAGTGCATGTTTCTTGGCCACTTCTGGCAACCACAGCTCCTCTTTATGAATGTAACAAGGCTTCCTGCTTCTTGACTGGTGTTTTTTCACATAAAATGTTCTCTGTGCATTGCAAACAGGCTGAATACAGAACAGTCCGGGTATTTGAGGCATTACAGTGCCAGTAATGCCTCAAGGAAACAAGTTTGCATAAACCAAAGCAGATACTCACATAACTGGGCATCAAGTCTTGCTATCAAATCCATGCCAAAACATCACTTTGTTTTTTTATCATTCTTTACTCAGTGGGGAAGCTTTAATGCAAATATCTCTCCAAAGAAAGAAAAGACTTGAAATAATAATCTATCAGAAAATTATACTCTTAAGATTTTAAAATATACCTTCTGTTGGCCAAGGGTGATCAGTAAAACAAATCAAGCTGTGCTTGGCAAATACATCTTAAAAAAAGAAAACTTTAAAGATGGCAAGATGTAGCCTGTAAAATCTTCTGGCCTGAAATAAAGAGATGAATTTGCAAAGGTGTCAAGACCAGATGTTATGGCTCATGTTTCCACAGATGTCTCACAATCACTTAAAGCAGAGTAATGTTTGAATACTTTAGGCACAGCACCAAGAGTTGGAAATGTTAATGTGCTACTGCTATGAATTGATACACTACTAAGGGAAGTCTCTTCCCATCTTTATTCAGTGCTTGTAACACCAGAGGCTCTGGTCTGTGTACTGTTGACTTGACACAGAGAAATATTTCAGTGGAATGCAAAGGAACAGCACAGCTAGCTCTGAACTTATTTAACATCCCCTTGTTTACATTGCAATACATATGGGGCAAACTGTGCAGTGATATTATTTATTCTTCTTTTCTTTTCCTCAGAAATTAAGAGCCACCACTATCTAAGGAGATTGGAAAAAAGGCCTATATAGAATCATAGAATCAGAGAATAGCTAGGGTTGGAAAGGACCTTAAGATCATCTAGTTCCAACCCCCTGCCATCAGTAGGGACACCTCACACCAAACTATGTCGCCCAAGGCTCTGTCCAGCCTGGCCTTGAACACCGCCAGGGTTGGAGCATTCACAACTTCCTTGGGCAACCTATTCCAGTGCCTCACCACCCTCACTGTGAAGAACTTCTTCCTTATATCTAACCTAAAGTTCCCCTGTTTAAGTTTAAAGCCAGTACCCCTTGTATAATCATTTCCAGTGGGACACATGGCAGAAGTCAAAGTCTCCAGACACGGTTTCTCTGAGTCAGCTTCTGAAGACGGGGTAAGCAGTTTACAGAAAAAGAGGCTCACATTATGGTCCTCTTTCTGTGTGTAAAATAATAAAATGAAGGATAAAGTCAAGCATCAGTCATGCAGTAAACTGCAAAAGGGCAGTATTTCCCATAAATTGAAGCAAATGCAAAAGAATTTGCTTTTGGGGTTAAGCATGTTGTTTAAATTCTGCAATGTGTAGCATTTGTTACAGTCATCTTCGCACACAACCAGCTCTTTTACGACACATGCTCACACTGGGGCTGAAGTATTTAACAGCTTATAACAAGGACAATTTACCTGGTGGTATGTAGACTAGCAGAGCGTAAGGTTTACTCTATGGAATAAGCAGTAGAGTACATGAAATATGGATGTTAAGGTCAAACACAGCATGTCAGGAGTCAACACACAGCTACCCTTTTAAGGCAGCATGGCATTGGACCAAAATAAAATGATGGCTTTCCTCCATGAGGGTAGCAAGACTGAGAAAGGGAATTTTTCTTTGCCTTTCTCCATGGCTGAAGCCCACAGATGCACTGTCTCCTCTTGCTGTGTGGAAAAAAAGCAACCATTTTGTTTCTGCCTGCATCAAAACACACACAGCCTCACATATGGCTTGTCCAGTTACTCTAACAGATTGGGGTACACATCTATACAGTTGTAACCCATCCAAGCTCTGTATGCAGGATCAAGTTAACAGCTGAAAACAAAAACTGCCAGAAGCAAACCTCTCTGAGCTGGTATTAGCTGCCAGAGCTCTCACCTCAGTGAACCACAGCTTACATGTGAGGAGCTAGTTTTAAGACACTACTGTCATAATGTACAACAGCGAGAAATGCTACCAATAAAAAGATGTAAATAAATGGCACTGGTGCAAGGGACGGCATCAGGGAGCTGTTCACATGCTCAGAGTAGCTTCATGGATTAGCGAGGCTGAGATAGGCTTTGCAAAGCACCATGGCATAAACAACAGCCTGTTCCCCACATAGTAACATGTTCCTCAAGTCAGCATGGTCCCCCCCAGGAAACAGTGCTAATGGTGAAGCTGTTAAAAATGCTTTCCTCTTTGCCCATAGGTGCCATGCAGTGGTCTGGGTAACAGTGCACCCTTCTCCTCCAAGTCTGTTCGATGGGTGTGTGCTGCAAGCCTAGGAACATCCCGAGAAGGCTGAAGTCTGAACAAGTCAGAAAAGCAGTTGCCTTCCTTGCCCAGACCTGCAAACACTCAGAGGATCAGTGTCCAAACACAATGCCTAACACCACACAGGTTGCAGGCTTTCCTGCCCTGGACTTTCCCTTCTAGATCCTTCTGCCTCCCAGCGTATTTGACCAAATTAGGTTCAAACTCTGCAACCATAAGAACATCCGCTCTAGTCACAGTGATAGTGAAGCTTAAATGGTTTTTGATTTCCAGCTTGGTTTTTTGGATTCCCTCCCATTCTTATACCCATGCAAAAAAAGAGCTCTTGTGCTTCAAATTTTGAATGTGTGGTCCTTGGCCGCACAAATGTCATACAGACATTTTTGTACTCAAGAAGCTGCTTCTGGGATACTGTTTGACTGCCAAAGAACTCTAAGTTTAACCTGAAGATTTCTATGTGAAAGACATGGAAAAAATCCTCGAGAAGAAACTTCAGATCGTTTTTTTACCTCTTAACTTACTCCTAGCTGAAGCACCTCTTGGGCAGCCAGTCCAACATGCACAAGCTATGTCAAATAAAAAAAATCTAAAAAATTTAAAAAAAAAAAAAAAGAAAATCCTAGAAATTACAGTGGGTACAGAAACCTGCCTGCTGCATGAAGCAGGTAACTAGCATCCTCTTACGAGTGTAGATGGTGATGTACTTTGGCAACAGATAAAAAAAGCCCCATTGCCATGCTCCTCTTCAGAGAGCTTTGAGCACTAACATGACAGTGAAGCACTAAAAGCATACTGAAGCTATTTCAGACAGGAAACCAAAGAGGAAGGCATGTCACCATTTAGACAACTTCATCATACTGGGATGTAAACACAGTGCACTTTTTTTGGTTCTTAGACAGTTGTCCAACACTGTATGTGAAACAAGCCCTTAGTGGTGCTTCTGGATCATGACCTTTATCATGGTGTGCATTCAGCTACATGGTAACACTACCCTGGATCAACACTTTGAGGTGTGGTTGATCTAGTCATAACCTACCACCATGTGAAAGGCAGGCCTCTGCTCATAGGTATTTCAGGCAGATAAAGAGAACCCTCTTTACTAGTCTATGCTTTATTCTAGTAGCCTCTTTTATTGCTATAGTCAGTCTTCCCTCTGCAGTGAAAGACTTAAAATAAGGTATTTCTGTGTAAAAGTATTTTCTCCAACAGCAGGGAAAAGAAAGTAAGTGTTCAGAAATGTAAGCTGGGAAATGGCATGAGTGCTTCTGACAGTGTTAAGACAAAGACACTCTGTAAGCTACAAAGCTCTTAACTTGGTATCAGTACCTCCACCAGAAACCCCTTAAGATCTACCTTTAAAAATATTTACAATATAGGTAAGGATGTGTTTATTCTGTTATGTACCTGACAAGATACAAAGAAGAGACTAGCTTTGGAAACATCTCACAAGTATATTTATTAGTCTCAAAGCATGACCCATTTCATACTTTAAATGGCATTTCATTACAGTATAGCTGCACAAGCCTCTGTTCTCCATGAAAAGATGCTTGATATGCAGAAGGCAGACTTTAGCACATAACTTATTTACATACGTAAGTTCCTGGATTTGTTTAGGTTTCAGGACAGTAGCTCAAGAAAAGTGTTTGTCTTAATCACTTCAAAAGCTTTCTTTTCTTTCTCCACTGTTTATTGTCTGTATCTTCAGTATCGTCAGGAGGATCTGGTATTACAAAGCCATCAGTCATTTTATAGTAGACTACTGTGGAATCTGACTCAACTATGGCCAAAGTAACTGACAGCGGGGTGTCAGGATCATCCTGTGGGAGTGACGCTTTCTTCATGATCTCTCTCATCCTAGAAGAAGAAACAATCAGTTAAAAAGGAGTCCACAACCACCCAAGGAGGGCACAAAGGTAGAAGTGCACCACTGCTATTTTTATTCACCTTGGGTTCATTCTGCAAATTTGTCTTCACAAAAGAAAGTATAATATCTGTTCTAGTAAAAATCCAAAGTTGTATAATCAAGCAACAAAATCAAATTACAAAGAATCTTATAAAAATACACTCAGTTACATACATCTCTGCTGGAAATGGCTCAACATATGCTTCTTAGCTTTGCTTAGGTGTACTATTGTGCACATCCTGGGTTCAGCTACAGCAGTCATTTTTTCTCCTTCTTAGTAGCTGGTGCAGTGCTGTGTTTTTGACTTTCAGTCTGGGAACAATGCTGATAACACCGATGTTTTTAGTTGTTGCTCAGTAATGTTTACTCTGACCAAGGACTTTCTCAGTCTCATGCTTTGCCAGAGAGGAGGGGAAGCCAGGAGGAAGCAGAGACAGGACACCTGACCCAAACTGGCCAAAGGGGTATTCCATACCACAGCACGTCATGCCCAGTATATAAACTGGGGGGAGTTACCCGGAAGGCCCAGATCGCTGCTCGGGTCGGGCTGGGTATCGGTCGGCGGGTGGTGAGCGGTTGTGTCCTTTTCCCTTGTTATTCCTCTTATCATTATTATTGGTAGCAGTAGTGGTTTGTATTATACCTTAGTTACTGGAGAGCTGTTATCTCAACTCGTGGGAGTTACATTCCTTCGATTCTCCTCCCCATCCCTCCGGGAGCGGGGGGAGGAAGGAAAAGGCGGGGAGTGAGCGAGCGGCTGCGTGGTTCCAAGTTGCCAGCTGGGCTTGAACCACGACAATGCCTCAACCATCCTTCAGCTGCCACAATCATAGCAGGACAATTGCTAATGGCCTTGTTTTCATTAGATTAAAAAAAAAAAAAAAGTTAAAAAAATCTGATTGACACATGGTGTTCAGTTAGAGGACAAAATAATTAAGACTTGTTCCATCTGCAGAGGTAAGTCTTCCAGTCTCTTGTACTACAATTCTGTGCCAGATTGTGGAAGACCCAGGCACTGAAGCCAGGTTTCTCTACCTCCCTGTCTAGACTAGAAGCCACAAGACTTCTTCAAAACAGTCACATAAATAATGTCATCCTTAAAAATTCAAGACAAATTTAAGCATTTTTCCTGTTCAGCTTATTTTAAGAATAACATGCCAGTTACTTTTTAGTACAGAGCTGAGTACGACACTTATTCCAGAGTCTTTGTATTACTGTTCTGAGCAAGTACTGCAGGAGCACAGTGCCCAGGGGCAGAACAGCAACACTCCCCATAGCAAGCATTTCCACAAGGAGCTTTCTCCTTGCACTCAAGGTCAGGTGCAAGAGGGCTCATCTGGGATTGCCAAGACAGGTTACACTCTGGGGAGAGGTCAGCTATGCAGTGAATGTGGGAAAATTAAAACAGAAATTGCCACTCACTTCATGCGCCCCTAAGATCTCACTCACCATAAACATGCATTTCTGAAGCTGAGCACTGTAGCTGAAAATAAGGCTCTTTCAAAATGCATCAGCTTTCGAACTTCAATCATTATCTTCCTTCGAAACCTCTTTGATCCCTTAATAAAAGCCAAATGGAAAGTGGCAGAGAATAAGCAGCAGCCTGGAAAGCCTATGCTATTAAGCCCATGACCCTCTTAAGTATCCGTGTTCTGAACTGTTCATAATTCAGCTCGGCTAAATTCAGAAGTGCCTTTTCTTTTGGTTTCACCACTGGCCCATATATAATGCAAGCAAGGCAATACAACATAGTTAGCCATTTCATGCAACAGACACTAAGGCTGTGAAAAGCCATACTCTGGTTCTCCAACCATCAGCACATTCATAACAAGAGAACAAGTAAACAAAGAGATACTATACTGGCCACTGACAGAAAAGAGACACCTGCAAGAGACTCATACTGCTACTGGCAGAGACCCAGAGAGGAAAGAACTATCTGTGGCATTTATGAAGCAGTAGATATTAATCTCTCTCCTGGGAATGCAAAATAGAAACGACAATAAAAAGCCAAATAAAAGAGTACAGCTACCCAGGAGAGATATTTTGGGACCCAAAGAAACCAAACTTGTGTTGAATGTGGACAGTCCTATACATGGAAGCACAATCAGTCAGTGGCCTGTATTCACCTGTCAGCCACGGTAGAAACTCATTCGTATTTTCTTTAGTAACTCTCACCATTTCTCCTCCTAGTCTATTAAGTGGGATGGATGTTACAGTAAGGTCTTAGTTCTAGATTTCCCACCACCCATCATTTCTTCTTACACTGCCAAGCACAGACATCTGAACCTTTATTTACCCCCATTAAGCATTTAGACTTAGAAGATACACCATGATCCCAAAACTCGTCACGTCTTGACAACAAATTGATGTTTCTTTGCATGCTTGACTTACTTTTCAGGAGACTGAGTTTCAGGGTTTATGTAAAGAGCACAAAAACTTAGGCCATTGCCTCAGGATGATCTTTTAACACTGCTATCCACAGAGCCCAATAGTTTCCACTGCACACTGGGAATCAGCCTCTATTGCCATAAAGAATTAGAACTGCAAGTGCAAATTTCTCCTCTTGCCACTTTTCTCAACACAGGCAGCCCCAAAACAAGAGCTCTCATTCATGCATACCACAACTAGCCATAATGCAGTGCAGAACATCTGCAGATTAGTGGGAGGGTATCTTTTGAAAGAATAAGCTTCGGAATTCAGGAAGTCTGTATCAGACGCCTGTGTTTCCTCTCCCCCCCGAAGGGCATCACTGTTAGTCTGTGGTGTTGCATGTTCACAGTTTCTCTGCAGCAGCAGACATTTCAAAGGAGGAGTCAGAGAACATCTGGGTTTGTGCCGATTTCATTGCACTTGCTACCTGCCACAAACAGAAAGATGAAATATTACAGGAAATTTATAGATTTTTAATCCTTTTGATGTATCTAACACTGTCTATGGAGGGGGGAAAGCAGCAAGAAGTGTTCTTGGCCTGCTGAAATTCAAAGGAATGCATATTTGACCTCCTAAGCAAGGCATGAAGCCTTTATTTCACAAGAGACAGCCCTCTAGGCTGCCCATCTCACACAACAGCTGCATTTAGCAACCAGTAAACTGAAGTCCTAAACAAGAAGCCCGTATGTTAACAACTCCTCCCTAAATTAATGGATAAGCTCCTTGATGATCAGTATGTCTGATACATTATGCTAGGTATTAAGGATGGCTTTTGCTCAAGTAAAAGTGGATTTAATGGTTCTGAAAGCATCAAATGTTAGAAGCCTCTGGAACAGGGGTATTCAATAAATCCAGTACTTTAGCATACTCCACCAACAGTCTTGATAGCCTTCATTTACCAGCATCCTTTTCCTCATGAGTTGCAACTGTGTTAGGTCACGTTCTTCAAACATCATTCCCACTGATACCAAGGGGTCCACAATGACTCTCATTTTGGTTCCCTAGCCTTTACAGGCCATGCTCCAACAGCATGAACCTCACAGAAGCTGCAGTGTCAAGCATTCAGCATGGACTGGCTCTACCTGGTTCCTCCTTTTCAACAGACATTCAGGTATGCCCACTCCACCGGCTAGACATCAAGGTTTAAGCAGAATGTACAGACTTCACATGAGAAAATGTACAGCTGAGAAACAGTTAATACTGTTCTGCAGTGTCTGAATAAAAGCTTAGCATGTTTTCAATACAGTCTCAAGTAAAGCTCATGTTGGAAGAATGCATCATTCACTTTGTCATCTCCTGAAGGAAACTATACAACACAATCATCAATCACCTGCCTTCTTCATCACCTCAGACTTGCCCACTCACAGGCTCAGCCTAGCCCAGAAGATCAGGGACAATCAACCCTATACATGCTGCCTTCTCAGGATTTATGCCAATGACTACCTGGTAAAAAAAATAAAAGGCATCCAGAGCTCCAGGAGAATACACAGAACAAGTGTGTGTGCTGCTGCATGCACAGTGAGAAGACTATGAATTAAAACTTCTTGCAACCACTCCTTTCCTTTCTCTCCTCCTTCCTATGAAGAAAAGCTGTTGGATGTTAAAACAGGCAACACTGAAGCTTTAGGTTTCCCCACACAAAAAAGTACGTCTTGAACAAAAGCACTGTGAAAGGAAAACAACATACATAAGCTAGGGCAATACGTGATGATCAGGAGGCTGGAGCACCTGCTGAGTGACTTGGGGTTGTTCAGCCTGGAGAAGAGAAGGCTCATGGGAGACCTTATAGCAGTCTTCCAAGTACTTAAACAGGGCCGGCAAGAAAGCTGGAGAGGAACTTTTTACAAGGGCATGTAGTGATAGGACAAGGGAGATTGGCTTTAAACTGCAAGAGGGCAGATTTAGATGAAATATTACAAAGAAATTCTTTAATGTGAGAGTGGTGAGGTGCTGGCACAGGTTGCCCAGACAAGCTGTGGCTGCCCCATCCCTGGAAGTGTTTAAGGCCAGATTGGACGGGGCTTTGAGCAACCTGATGTAGTGGAAGGTGTCCCTGCCCGTGGCAGGGGGGGTTGGAACTGGATGAAATTTAAGTTCTTTTCCAACCCAAACCATTCTAGGATTCCCTGAAATCCATACAAATCCATCCAAGAGAGGAATTTTCCATCTCTCCCCCCATCTTCTTTTTTTATTCATAAAAGACTTTTGTACTAGGTAGGCCTTCAACACACATCAGAAATCTACCATCTTTCCAACTGATCCACTCCTAACAAAATAACAACTCATTCCAGAGAAAGAAACCTATGACTGGTAAACTTCAACTGTAGCTTGAGGTTTTAACTTGTATCCAAAAACTAAAAAAAAAATCCAAAACAGAATCATCAAGATAACATGGGTAGAAAGCTTTGTGACAAACAAGAGTATTTCAGTGATTTGTCCCATGCAAGCACCTCTGAGAAGCAGCAGTAAAACTGAAAGCTAAGGGTAATTTTATGGAGGTTGCATAGAGCTTCATTTAGCTGAAATGGAACTACTGCCTTCCATACCAGAAAAGCCAATAGCTTTCAATCTGCCCTTCATACTTGGATGAATAATTCATTACAGGCTTGGCCAGCCAAAACAGCTCCCTCTCCTCCATGGAAGGCAGGGCTGGAGAGTAAGCACAAGTTGGTCTCTGTACCACTACACAGAGATCATTACTCTGTGCATCAGTGTGCACCACTGCACCAGACTTCTTCAAATAGGCCTCTTGACAACACAACCAAGGCAGAAGAAACCTCCTGTAAAGCACAATACCTTGAATTTAGCCAACAATACAAAACCATCACAGCATGGCTCACCATTATTCCAGACCTAGCTGCAGGGCAGGCAGCAATATTAACTTAGTGCCTTGAAATATATGTGAAGAATCATGTGCTGGTGAGAAAAGGTGTAAATTGACTGCAAAGAAAAGACTATGTGCCTCATTGGTCAGGAAGAGGAACTGAAACCCCAAGGAACATAAAGTTCTTTTTTTCCATGGAAATTGAAAAACTAAACAAATCATGCAAAAGAGAGGAATCAGAATTCAGCAAAGTTCTGCAAGACACACCAGCTGTAGGACATTCAATCACAGCACTGTGTAACCAACTCAGCTGCACGAACCACAGCAATCACTTTTAAACTATTAATAAACAGTTTGCATTTAAAAGCAATTAATTGCATTTTCAATGTGTGATTTGCTGTATGAGTAAACTCAAGTGATGCTTATAGCAGAAGAGTTACTGACAAAACTGTGATGATGCATGTCACACTTCCAGTGCATTTAAAATACCAGTACTTCTTATAAGCAAAACCACTTCAAATTAGAGGAAGATCTGTTTCACAAACTACAAATTTAGAAGAGGATAAATCACTTCTGGTACTCAGATTTGCTTCTAAGGATGTTTATCAGCTTTAAAATCGAAGCATTTATGTATTCTTTTTCTAAAATTAAGTTACCATTTTAACAAAATAACCCTTTCCTTCTTAGCCTAACCCAAACTTTGCAGTCTCCATAACCTCATGTAACTGACTTCATCCTTCATTTCCACCACTTTTGTACAAAAAAGAAACAGGGCAGTGACATAGCATTTAATCTGATGTGTTATTAATAGCATTCTGCTTGGACGTTATTTGTCTAGGACAGACAACACATAACTCCATTAGATCCAGCATCTAAGTCCCCGGTCCTTGGTAGGGTTAAGGCTTTCAACACCATCTAGAAAATCCAGCTGTCAACACTGCAAGTTCTCCTACACTTGCTGAGCTTGGTTTATGCAAGTCATTGCTGCTAGCTCTGAAGCAGGACTAACTGCTTCCTGTGATTCGAGGAGCCACAGTTCTGGAATGTACTGACAATTAGGCACTTGGTGTGTACTAAGGTGTCATCTGCAATAGTTAGCAGCAAAGATGTCTCAGCCAATGGACTGACAAATTCCTCCTCAAGCATGAATCACTTCTAAATTCAAAAGCATATAAACAGAAGGTTGTCCAAACCTCAGCCAGCTGTGTGTGGTTGTCAGAGTGATCCAAGACACACAGAAGCTGCATCTTATTCTCTAGGTCTTTATTCACAGAACATTCAGCAGTCTTCATTCTAAGAGCACGCACAGCATGAAACCACTTTCCAGACTGTATGAGACTACCACTGACATTGGTGGGCACTTTGCTCCAGACCCTGTGATTTTGTGATTCAGTAAGTTACAGTGCAGCCTCACACTGGCAGGGCAGGATGATCAGCTTCCAGCAAGCCGTTTGTAGAAGCAGACAGTGAGCTTAATAAGTTGAACAGCAGTTAATTGTCATGCATTAAGTGGACATGATGAAATCTTATAATAGGCTAGGACGCTTATATTTGTCATTTGCTTAGGTGTCTTGCTGGTGATTTCTACAGTAACTTTACTACGGCTTTCTAAGGACACTCTCCTCTGAGCATCAGCCAAGTAGGAATCTTCACAAGACAGATGGGAAGGCAGAAGTTGGCTGAAGTGGCTTTGAGAGGAAAACCACCCCTGCAGACCCAGGCCATACTGGTTATGCAAGGAAATGCTGTCCATAAATCCTGCCATTTGCTAGCTGCTTTTGCAAGTAGCGCATTTCCAGGCCCATCAATGAGGACAGAATGTTTTCACCTTCCCAAGCCCTTCTGGTGGCTTACTTTCAACATTAAGTGAGCTGCGTTCACTTGTACTCATACCTTTTTCTCTACACCTTTAGCAAGTAACACAAAACCCCAAAGCATTGCTTTGAACAAAACAACAAAGCACTTAAGTACAAAAGTTTTCCAGTCTATAGCTTAGGAAGTCAAATGAGAAAATATCATTTAAGACATCAGATACCTAACAAGCCTCCTGCTATCAATAATCACAACAAAATACTCACTGCTGTCAGAACAAAGAGGCAGCAGTACTGTAATACTGCTTCCAACTCCTTCTACAGGATGCCTTTTTAATGGCCTCCCTCTGTGCTATGCAGCTTTGAGCTAGTTACTGTCTATACCCCCTGGTTTTCACCTACTGTTCCAGCAAAGGAGCGGAGGAGTTGATGCAGTTCTTTCTCTACAAGGACAGAGCAGGCCTCTCTGCACCAGCACTAATGAAATGCCAAGTATGCATATGCACATGCATGTTTAATAACACGAATACAAACCTGACACCATCTATGGGTATTCAACACATACAGGCTTTAATGAATTCACCTGGCATTACAGTCCAGTATTCAGCTCATTTTAGTGACAATATGCTCTATGTAGTTGCTCTGTACCAAAACCTAGTCACAAACTGTACTTTCAGTCAATGTGATGCATTCACTTTTTGCTTCTCTAACACACATCCTTCCAATAATGGATTCCAATCCACACTGGTGCCAGAAGCAGAGCAAACAGTATCACCACAGTACAAACAAGTTCAGAAGCTGCAAATGAAAAGCTCCAATGAAACAGTAAAAGATAGGACATCCGTGCAGTGCAATCTCTCAATGTCATTAAAGCAAACTAGAATGTACTTGCTGGCATTCATCCAGTGACAGAAATCAAGAGTTTCCAACCTAGATGAAAACCTACTACATTAAACAAGCATAGCAACTCAGCATGTAGACGTAATTTCTCAAAGATCCCGTATCCTAATTTGTGGCTTTCTTTTCCCACCTAAAATCTAGTTTGAACTCTGAACAGCAGTTGTGTCCTTTTCATACACATACTGTGACCTGCTCCTGGCAGAAGAGAGACACTCAGCATTCCATCCTGCAAGACCTCTCAGCAGCTTTCCCCTGTTGTGGAGAACACACCATATTTCTCTTTAAGACCAAACCCCCACGAGCAACTGACCAATATTTGCAAATGAAAGTTTTTTTCAGCACATATAGTACTCAAATCCATCAATATCTAGTAAGTTATTTTCTCCCCCCTCACAAATATGCACTTAGGAAAACACGTAACAGAATTAAGATAGAAGCCTGTCTGCAAGAGACTCATCTGTCACTACTGAAAAAAAAAACCAAACCAAAAACAAAGGCAAAAACCATAGCATGTCTAAAACATCATTCCTAGAGCGCACACACGTCTGCTAAGTGCAATTCACTAGCTACCTACTACTGTGTCAGGCTGCTGCCCACAGAGCCAGAGGAAACAGCAAACACTAGCAAGATCTGTAAAGCCAGCCCTGAGCACATGCTCCTCGCAAGAGCAGGAACAGAGGAAACTGAAAAATGTACTACCATATGATGCAGCTGAAATAGTTGAGGTCTTCAGAGACATCCTAGGAAAGAATGGCAAATACCAGCAAAAGAAGGCAGCCATTATCAGAGAGTAAATCATACTTACTGGGTGTTTGAGGCTGCTCTCAGGGCCTGTTAAAATATACTGTAAAATTACTGAAGCGGAATTTCTCTAGGCTGCAAACATCTGCAATATCACAAAGTCCTAGCTGTGCTGTCCTCTGCTTGAGAATTACTTGGTTTTGCATGTGTAAGGAAAGCAAGTAAAAATCACAGCTCAAGGGACAGTTACACATTAAACTCTGGGTAAGTAAAACTAAATTTCCAGTTGGAAGTAGCCAAATTATACTTGCAAAACAAAAAGCAGATCAAACTAAACACAACAGGCTTATCCACAGATTAAATGCTTTAAAAAAAAAAAAAAAAAGGTTTATTTTTAGATAGGTCCAGGAGAATTTCTTTCTTCTTAAATACTTTAAAGCCCAGTGACACAAAAAAACATTGCCAGATTTTTCCAGACTACATAAAAGCAACACAAGAATGTTCAAAACATAAGCTGTGAAGGTCTTGTGTTCTAACCCTGTCTCTCAAACACATACTTTGATATCCATTGTTATCTCCTAAAGTATATGCAACTTCTAAACAATATGAAGTGTTTATCAGCAGGATTCAGTTGCTGTGAGAAGCTGGCATCAACAGCATACCACTTTCAGAGAGGGAGAAGCAGAGACTGATGTAACTTAGAAAATTAAAAAAAAAATCTCAGGCAAAGGTATTGCTATCCTCTGATACTCCTTTGTTTTCTCGCCCATCCCCTTCTGACCAAGTCATCAGCAGCCTGTTAAATATCTTACTGGTAATGTGAACCAAACACTGACCACATCCTCACCTCTCATGGCTCAACAATATGTGCACAGGTACCGGCACCATCACTTGGAGACTGTCCTGTTCTCTTTCACGTGCATGTAAACATACGAGCTGCAATTCTGCTACTCCAACATACTTCACTTCATGCCAGTTTCTCCCTAGAAAGGTTCATCATCGATGAGAAGGACCAGAACACAAAACACAAGTTTTCATCATTCAAATATCCAATTTGATATTTAAGTTAACATCTAAGACTACATTTTCCCTCCCTCCTCTCACAGGAGATTTCTCATGAGATGCAGCTACCCCGTGGAACCGTCAAGTTTGCTTTCTGAGAAACAATCCTGTTAAAGAAACCCAGGGGAACAGTATCAGTCTGCTGACTCTAGAGCTACACTGAATGATGGTGACTAGGGATCTGTCTGATAAAGCTTTGCTTCAAGAAGGCAAAAAGAAGATAAAAACTGCACAGCTTTAGTCTGTAATACAAATTTGGACTTTATCAGTACCCTGAAACTGTGAAGGAGCAGGTGCTGAAAGCATGATTAATGATAATACACAGTTCTTCCCTTCTGGTTGAAGGGATAAGTCTGAAGGTTTTTTGCTGCAGAATTACAGGAGCCTTCTCTTAGTGATTGAGGCACTTTCTTCAGAGGTATAACAGTAACAGACACAGTGCTTTCTGGCCTGTAAAACCCCTCCCTTCCCTGACCTTGAGAACCACCAGCCTCCAAAAGAAACTCAAATATTTTTACTAGGCTGGCTGCCTGCCTACACATAGCCCCTTTTTAATAAAGCCAACTTGGAAGAATTGCAGGCAGAAATTAATAGATCATATAACTCTGCTCCACTCTTACAAGACAGCAGAAGACTACACTGCATTTGTCATAATTATTGCCACCAGACTTCCAAGTGATCTTTTTAAAGGAATCCTTACCCTTTCCAGAAAAAAGCATCATAATCAGGCCAGCATACGTCAGCCAGTTGCTAAAATCATAACTTCAGTGAAACACTATGATTTAGTAACTTCAACATTAATCTACAAACAAGGACTCTATTACCAGCACAACCACTGAACTTGTAACTTCACCTTTCCATGTTCCTCTCCCTTCCCCTACTCCTCTTTTGATTTTTTTTTTTTTTTCTCCCAGGCAGAGTGTCTTTGCCCTGGAACAAAATGGGCCCTCATCTTCGTGAACACTCCAGGTAAGCACAGGATAGAAATCTTCAGTGCCAAAATACCATCTGTTTCTTAGGTAACCATCACCATTAAGTTTCAAAAATAACACCAAAGACTTTGTAGGAAAGGTCCTGCTAGTGCGCAAACTTTAACAGCACCTAAAGGAAAAAAAATATTTGCTGAATTACCTTCTAAGAGGTCCAGGTATACCACAAATGCAGCATAGATTTGAGTACTGTCAGATATATCAAGAGACATCATTTCTGTGAGCTGAAACCCAAAAAGTAATGTTGGTGGAGGAAAGCAGAAGTTACATTAAGAATGCACATTTCAAACCCAGAATCTGTACAGCTATCTAAGCCACTGAAGTCTGAAACCAGTTTTAAGGACCAACGGGCAATTAAAAAGCAGGACTTGTTTGCTGACAGTATCTTAAGAGCTATTTTTTTTCTGCATTCCCCCTATTTTGGTGCTTAAGAAAGCAAGCCAAATAAAAATGAGGAATCACAACTATTTCTGGAACAGACCTAGCTTTGTGGAGAAGGGCTATGAATTTTACCTATTTTTGCTGCAGCACACCAACATAAGATGACAGCCAAATTAAATACTTCCATGTTTCCAGTACACTAAAAATTAAGATGGAGTAAAAGTTTAAGACGCTTGCGTTTTCCAGCTGCAGTTTCAGCATTCAAAACCTCGTCCTCGGCCTCAAGTGGCCCCAACAACCCCACCGGTTCTCCTCACGGGCCGGGAGCCGAGCCCCTTCAACAGGCTCAATACAACCAAACATGCTACATTAAAATCTCCTCCCGCCATCACCTACGTGCTCCCGACCCCGAGGTGCTCCTCAAAGCCACGGTGGGGGGAATCTGTCAGGGGCCAGAGCAACGGGCCCGAGCGGGCAAGCGGGACCCCCACCCCGAGTGACTGCGGGCCCCCCGCAGCCCCTCAGCGCCCGGGCAATGGAGGGCCGCAGC